GTCCCCAAGTCAGCCATTGCTGAAACTGACCAGCGCTGACTACAGGAAGCCCGAGGCAGAGTTGCTCTGCCCCAGGCTTCCTGGAATCAGCAGCTGATCAGTTTCAGCAGCAGCTGACTTGAGGACGCTTAGGGTTCTTAAGTTGAATCTGTATGTAAGTCAGAACTGGCGGTCAGTTTCAGCAGCGGCTGAATCTGGATGCCAGTTCCGACTTACATACAGATTCAACTTAGGGACTGTAGGTTTGTTCTTATCTTGTACGTAACCTGGGGACTGCCTGTATTGGTAGACTGTAGAACAAAACTAAACCCAATGTCCACTCCCAAACTCCCAGGTGTCTACATGACAGGAAGTAGGTTGTGATCTGAAAATGACTTCATCCCAGGAAATCTTTGATCTGTTTGCTGTCTTTATAATCTCTTATCTTCTGTAGTTTAGGTAAATTAGGTTAACACCATCTGATGTGCAAAAGTGATACATTTCAGTTCATGAAACTGGCCACTGTCAGACAGGATACTAGGCTTAGATGGAATTTTTGGTCCGACCAGTATTGCTGCTCTTAGAGTTGATGTATGCCCATTTTCCTCTGTAGAAGTTAGAGACTGGAGAATATTCATTCTGATCAGCCTTTGGACCAAGGCAGGATTATACAGGTTTGAGATCCTAGACAGAGAAGTTAGGAGTATTTCTGTAACCTCTCTATGGTGGGCTCATGAATAGCTGGCCAGAGCATTCCTGAAAACAGCTGGTTGTGGGCCTTGCCTGTGGGGGTGATAGTAACCTTGGAGGGCCTTGTGGCATCTCATGGTGCAAGCAGGAACCCAAATTAGTGAGGCTGAGGGCTCAACTGTACCTCCGTTCCAGATAGCACCCCAGGGGAGGGACACTGCTGAAAAGCGATAAAACAGATATGCAAGTTCTGGTATGTCACCATGGCTCTATCCCTGATGATAGTTTAAGGGACACGGGTTTTGTTAAATTTTGTAGTGGAGAGTCAACTGGGGGAATGGACAGTGCTAGTCTGATTAGACTTAATGATCTAATTAAAGGATGCAAATAAACTGGCATCAGTTCTGTGATGGCTGGAGGTTCCACAAGAATCTCAAAGTTGCTATCCTGCATCTTAAGCTGCCTGTTATTTTGAAATAACAGGCATGCTATTTTGGCTTCCCTGTAACTCTTGTTCCATGAGGGTTAAGGGATGTTTTGAAATAGTGTGTTGAAATTTGGCAAGTTTCAAACATTATTTCAAAATACAATTGAAATAAGCTCTATAGTCAATTTGCGCTATGCAAAACATGAAATAAGATTAGGGTGCTGTGTAGATGGACCCTGATAGATTAGCAATGAATTCTGATCGGGTTGGGAAGGGGTGCCTGAGTTCTTAAGAGCATTAGATTTTATAGCATGTCACATGTATCTGCTCATTGAGGCAATATGGACACTTGAGGCACCAGTACTGTAGGAGGAAAAATTCAGTGGAGGGGGAGTGTCACTGAACACCAATTTTAATAATTGAATTAACAAAATGTGACTGGTCCTTCTTCTAGAGGTGGAAAACTGGGACTGTTTTATATATAAAGATATGGCCAACATCTCCACTTCCACAGAGCAAATTGCTTTAGAAGTGACTCATTTCTTCTCTGTTAAAATCTTAGGAAAAACTCTTACCACATCAGAATGAATATTTCCCTCTCCAAGTCTGTGTGTATACATTTAAAACCGTATTCTAGCTATTCAAAGGCAGTACCAAAATTACCCTAGCGTACCACTTTCCCGGAAAGTTAAGCTGACCTTTAGACTTATAAAGCATCTCTCTTATTCATGAATGAAGGGGGAAGTGGGATAACTTAAATTGCAAGCCATGACATTTTGTAATTGCCCCCCATCCCCATCCACTTGTATACATGTTAGTACAAGCAGTCCCCGGGTTACATGGATCCGACTTACATCGGATCCCTGCTT